TCTTCTCCTTAGAGTGCATCTGCCCTGGAGGGCTGCTTACCCTGCCTGCCCCTGGGGCCCAGAAGCTGTCCACAGTGGGGGTGAACTCCGTGGTCTCAAAGTCGAATACAATAAACAGACTATCTGCTCACAGGCTGAGCTGTGAGCCCAGACAACTCCCTGTGGAAGAAACAGGTGACTGTGAAGGGCTTATTCCGGTGTGCCTTTGCTCTGTCCTGGGGTAGGGGAGTGGTAAGGGGCAGCAGAGGGAAGGGGTCCCACCCAAAGAACTCATGATTTTTTAACTCCTACCAGGTCCTTTTGTCTTCCCTCAAATACCAGGAATTTTAAAACCAGAACTACATGAAGGAAAAACAGGAGAGAAAATGGCAGGGATCCATGCGTCCTCTGACCTCTAGTTCCCACATTTGTCCTTATTCCCTGAAAAAGTGTGACAATTATTCCCACAACCTCAGCTGGCTTAGGGCGGCATCCGGCCCCAGTCACTCAGGGCAAACTGCTTAGCAGCTCCACAGAGCTGGCCGAGGGCTCTGGGTCAGCCTGCCGTGGCACAAGGATGACTGGGGCACCCTCGCAGCCCTCAGGAACTTGAGAATAGTGGAGGACAGAGGCACGGGTAACAGCAAGTGATGTTGGAGGAAGAACAGTATCTGAGCCCTGGGAGAAGCCCAGACCAGGACCAGGGAGCTGGGAATGTTGGAGAGCAAGAGGCTACTCCCACTCTCTGTCCCTGCTCGGCACCAAGCCCCAGGTCACACAACCACCCAGACTAACATGGGCTCTGGGAAGAGCTTCCCCTTGAGAAATGCCCCCAGTCAACAGTGAGCAGGAGGAGGAGGAGGATAGTGGTAATAATAGTAGCAGTAGTAATCATATCTTACAGTAATGAACACTTCCTGTGGGCTAAGAACTTTTCACATGTCATCTGATTTCATCCTCAGATAGGTACTCTACTATCATTGCCCCCCTTTTACAGATGAGAAGACTGAGACATAGAGTTCTCTTACTCATTCACTCAACAAATGGTCTTTGTTTATGTGTCTACCGTGAACCTGATACCAATACCACCCTGGCAGTGACCATAAGATGGAGAAAATCCATGACTGTATATGGTGCATCCATTCTGGTGGGAGACAAATAACTTGCTCAAAGTCACTCAGCCTGTTAGAGCAGTGGAGGCAGGATTGGAAATCAGCCACTTCAACCACAGAACCTCTACTTTTTCAAACTCCCGACAAGCAAACTGCCTGGGCCTAGCCACAGCCACTTATAATCCTCATTACTAAAATACCACATTTCCTCTATTCTCAGATGCATAGTTTTTTCACATTTCAATATCTGAAATCTGGCTGCAAAAGAAATCTGTGGGCTGTAGACAAAGAAGTAAATCATAATATAGCTGATTTACTGTTCAAATATGGATTTAGCTCAATACAGGTTATTTGATTACCAGTGCAGTTCAGTTTTCTGCAAATGTTTTTGGAGGGTTTTTTCTTTGTTTTGTTTTGGTTTGTTTTGAATGTAGGCTCCACCCCCAGCATGGAGCCTGAAGTGGGATTTGAACGGGGTCTGAGATCAAGACCCAAGCAGAGATCAGGAGTTGGATGCTTAACTGACTGAGCCACGCAGCCCCCGCAAATGTTAACATCAAATGCAGTTGAATTTTAGCTTAAATTAAGATCCCTTATATTACTTCAAATATACTCCATTAAGTTCACTACAATGCAATAGTGAAAGAAAAGGCTATTGTATATGCAAGGGGTTACTTATTATGAAATGTAACTAAAGGAAGTAGAAATCACAAAATCTCCTGGAACACATCACAGAATTTTCAAAGCCTTAAGAGCTAGCATTCAAACAACAAACATCCAATTGTCAAAAGCTTCCAGCTATTTAACTTCCAGAAATATGTAATCAATTAGGGGAAATAAAATTAGAAATAGAAAACACAGGCCAAACCCCACTATTCTTTGATAAGCCTCAAAATTATACTGTGAACCTTAGGGGGCGCCAGGCTGCTCAGTCAGTAGAGCATGCGTCTCGATCTAGGGGTTGTGAGTTCAAGTGTGGATACAGAGGTCACTGAAATATAAAACCTTTAAAATTAAAAAAAACTATACTGCCAACCTTAAAGGTACCAAAGGGATCAAGATCATCAGCAATCTACCTTATGAAAAGCATCACATAACTCTGAAGTTACAAATAACTTCTGAGAACCAAATATAATATACAACTTCGCTGACGTGAAAAAATACCTCTACTCTTGGGGCACCTGGGTGGCTCAGTCGGTTAAGCATCTGCCTTCGGTTCAGGTCATGATCTCAGGGTCCTGGGATTGAGACCCGCGTCAGGCTCCCTACTCAGTGGAGAGTCTGCTTCTCCCGCTGCCTTCCCCCAACACCCTGCTTGTACTCTCTCTCTCAGATAAATAAATAAAATCTTAAAAAAAAAAAAAATACCTCTACTCTAAACTCTAATTACACAGAACAAGCAACTCCTATGTAAGCATATGAATGAATGAGAGCCACTATAGACAATGTTCTAAGCACGTAGATTTAATGTCATGCTTCTTTGCTTCTGGAAAGATGCAATTAACTCCGCGGCTTATTTTACCATTATCAGTGGCAACACTGATACCATGAACATTGTCAATGGTGCCTCAAAACAGAGGACTATGGTCATTACAATGACAGCCGCCATTTATTAGCACCTGCTGAACACTATATTTGATTTTTTACACCCAGTATCTGTGATCCTCCTAACTCCGTAAGGGAGGTACTCTTAGTAGTCCCACTTTACATGTAAGAAAATCAAGGTTCAAAGAGACCAGTGACTTCTGAAAATCAAGGAGCCAGTAAGCATCAAGTGGAGCATGGAAACAGGTCTTCCTGAGTCCAAAGCCCAAGTGGTTTCCAGGGCACTAAAATGCCTCTCCCTCTTAACAACCCACCTGCACCACCACCCTGACACAGCAAGCACAGATAAGCCCTCACCTGAAGAAAGCTTACTATGATCTCAGAGCAGGATGGGCCCGCAGGAGTTAAAGGTAGCAGGGTCCCCCCTCTCAACCCAAATACCCCCACGACGATCCAAATCCTGCTGCTTATATGGCTGTTGACATTTTCTCAGACTACACCTGAGGACACACTCAAGCAGGCCCCAAACTGGCCAACTGCACCAACTACCACACGGTCAATCAACTAATTAGTTCCTTCCTTCAAACTGTGCCCATTTAGTAGCACGATCCGGAGAAGACATTAAACAGGGCTTGGCAAGAAGTGAGGGAGTCTTTGCTGCTGGGGCTGGAGCAGGAAGAGGCCATGGCCTGGCCAGAGGCATCCTTTACCCTGCAGGTGATATCTCACATCAGTTAATGAAAGTAGAAGCCTCACTGAGTCTAAGAGACAGTCCAGCTAGTTGTGCCAGTCAATCTTCTGGAAATCCCTCTGAAGTCTTGGGGCAGCCCATGATTCCAATCCACAACTATTTTTCTTCTGGATCAAACTTTTGCAGGACAACAGGCGGGGGCTTGTGATGCCACCCTATTCTCTGGACATGTGGCTTTGGACACTCATCTCCAATGTAAGATCCCTCTCAAAGGCTTTTCCTTAAATATTTCCTCAGAAAAGGACCTCAATCTGGGACACAATGAGTGGACTAAGACAATCCAAGAAACATGTATTGAGCATCTCTGAGGATGCAGGGAAGAGTAAGATGTGGTCACTACCATCAGGGAACTCATGGTCAAGTGGAGGAGGTCAGATGGGCTCAAAACTAACTGCAGTAAAAAACAGAACAAGGTGAGTATTATTCTGGAACACAGAGGAGAAAGGAATAAATTCCAGACACATGGTCGATAATAAACTCAGCTACCACCGAATGAGCACCTACCAAGTACTAGGTGTGACACCAGGCATTTGACACACCTCATCCCATTTAATCCCCACAACCACCCCTGGAGTATGTCCTATTACCATTCTCACTTTATACATGAGAAACAGATGAAGAAGCAAACTATCTCACCCAAGGTCACCAATTAATTTGTAAATACTAGAGATAAGATTTGGACCCTACTGGCCAACACCAAAGTGTATGTTACTTTCAATATAGGAGACTACATCTCCTGGAGTAAAGAAGTTCTTCTTGATAGAACTGGAACAGGAAAAAAAAAAAAAAAAAGAACTGGAACGGGAACTGGTTTCCAACAGGTGAGATTAGAAACGGGAGAATAATCCAAGCGGAGCGTCAGTGAGAAGGAAGACCTAGAGGTAGGACAGATCAGCCCTCAGGGGTCAGCTAAAGCAGTGGGCAGAAATCAATCCTGCAGCACCAAGGAAGTGGTATATAGTCGGTGAGTTGGGGCACTAGGTGTCAGGAGACCCAGGTTCTAGTTTTGCCACAGTCACTCACTGTGGAACCTTCAACAGATCCTATCCCTTCTCTGAGCCTCAGTTTCCTCAACAGTAAAAGTTCCAATCCCCTGTTAGAATAGATGTTTCCCAAAGGTCAGCTCTGGCTTAAATGCTCTATGATGTTCCCAAGAGGCCATGTGGGACAGTGACTAAGACCAGGTGACAGGAAGACTGCAACTCTGCAGTGACCAGCCGAGTGACTGCAGACAAGCTAATTAACTCCTCCAAGTTAGTTTTCCTCATCTGCAATGTGGGGACAAGGGCAATGCCTGCTTCACAGGGCTGTGGTGAAGGCTGAGGGAACTGAAGAGAACAAGGCACTTAGCAGAGTGCTTGGCAAACTGTAAATGTCCAGTTAACGGAGGCAGCTTTGTCACCATCAGCAGCAGCAGCGTTATTTCTTCCTCAAAGGGTCCAGACAGCAAATGTAGTGAACATGGGCCAGAAGGTCCTTTTCTAATTATTTAAAGGGACAAAAAAAAAATGAGCTCCTTTTTTTTTCCGCTGAAAAAGAGACAAGGTCTCACTGTCCCTCCCATGGCCGCCTCACGCGTGAGGGTCCTGTTTCACCGAGGGGCCATGCCGTACCTTCTCCTCTGAAGAAACAGTCAGCTTGTCACTGGATATCAAGCTGCACACTTGGTCCAGACTTAGGCTAAGAAATTCTTCCCCCAGCATCACCTCTGGAAAGTGCTGCTCTGTTCCAAAAAAAAAAAAAAAAAAGGCAGAGGTTCAGAAAACAAAGTTATAACACACTGCTGCCCTTCCATGGCCCTGGCAATCTGTGAAATTCACAGCGGAGTCTTGGGCACTTTGGGGGCAGGCATGAGGAAAAGGGACAGACAGAGAGGCAGACAGAAAGACAGCACATCCTGGCTGAAGGGAAACTAGTCTCAATCTGGCAGCAAAGGCATCCCTCTGTGTGATCCTCCACCCTGAACATCGACACAGATGAAAATGGGGCAGAGAGATGTGAGGTTATATTTTTTCCATGCTCCATGCGATTATTAATGGCGTTGCAAAAAAGCCTCACTGGGACCTGCCTACTTAATTGAGCTCATTTCCCCTCAAGGCGCAAGCTGGCAGATTTACAGACGGTGCCCCCTGCAGCTCAGCCAAACAAAAGTGGGTCAGAACTGCTGTGTGGCTGGAAGTCTCCAGGGGTTCTGGTACGAAGTCAACATTTCACGGCTGGCGGAAGGCATCATCCTTTTGTGTCCAAAGTCAAGCCTACTACAGTCTCTGATTCACAAGGAGGCCCAACTAAGCATCTGTCCAGGCATCGAGGCAACACAGCTGGCCCCCCCACCACTAGCAACAGTCCATGAGAGGCAGGCCAGGGGGAACCATTAAGATGGAGGGGAATTTGGGGACACCTAAACCAAGACAAAACACACAGGCCGGATGTCCACGCAAGGGAAATGCCAAGTGCAATTCCTACCCCGACCTTTGCCCAGGCCACCATGTTGCTATTACAGAGACAGCGAAATGTCAGTGAAGGAGTGTACACTTCAGAAAGAAGGCAACTAGACTCAAATTCTGGCTTTGCCATTTGCAAGAAGTGTCCCTGAGCCAATGGCCTCACCTCCCTAGGCCTCACTGTCCCTCTGTATAATGGGGATACAACGGCTCATCTTGCTTCACTCCCATGCTGTGATGGGAAAGGAAATGTGAAAGTATTTTCACAAGTTATGCCAAGGTACATTGGCCCAAGAGCTGACAATTCCTGGTGCAGCAGGTTCTGGAGATCACAGGGTCCTTTGTCATGTGCCCCTTTCTGGGGCTCTCTTGTGGTTCTGCCCCACTGCCCCCAGGAGCATCTTTGCTCCTTGCCCTCCAGACTCCCGGCCCCCTCTCTTCTTTCTTTGGCAGCCCCTCTCTGTCCTCGTAGCTTCTTGGATCATTCTAGAGGCGACACCTCCCAGTTGCCAGCGAGGGCTACCCCCACGTGGCCTGGCCAGCCCCTGGGTGAGATTCAGAGTGCTCCGTGCCGGGGAAGCTGTGGACAGAGCGGGTCTGCCGCAGCTAGCTGCGCGATGGAAAGGGAAACCAGAGCATGCTCAGCTCTGCTCTCACGTTCATTGGCTTCTTAAAAGCCAAACAAAGAAGACTTAAATCATTTCTTATAAAACTCATTTTAAACTTTATGTTGAAATACTTTCGGACCCAAAGAATTCCCATACACCCTTCATCCAGAGCCTCCAAATGTCAGTATTTTACTCTCAGAGATCCAGTTACAAACAATCTGGTCCACCTTTCACTGGACAGAAAGGGCTCCCCACCTGCTCCCCAGTGGCCCACTGAGATCACTGGGCCCACAACTAAGCCTTGTCCATCCCGAAACTCAGGAATGTTTGCACATAACAAAAACAAATTTAAAAGGCAGATCCTTTACAATGGGAAGCAAATGCCATAAAGTAAAAAGCTGGCCGTGCTTCTCCATATGTGAACAGGAAAAGGACTTTGGTTAGATTTTCGGTTAGACATTTAAAAGACTTCCCTAACGAAGGGAATATTTAAGAGTAGATCGTATTATTTTTTAAACCGTCTATTCCTAAAAACTTTTAAATAAAAACAAGTGAACAATCTCCTTTGGGTGATGGGAATGCCTTCTTGGCCTGGAGGCCTGGGAAAGCAACAGGATTCTCCCTATATGCCCTTTCTGTTCCAAGATGTCTTTGGACCAGAGACCTCCATCTGTTGGCAACACCAAGAAATAGTGGAGAGAAAATTTTGGTGTGGAGTCACCACACCAAAACAAAATGCAGGACGGACATCAAGACTCTGTGGACCTGCCAAGGCTGAGCTCAGCAGGAGAGTCAGGCAAACCAGCACCAACATCCCCGTGGTTCAGAGCCACACAGAGTCTCCCTGCCTTTTCTTTGGCTGACCAAAACCTGACATTTGGAGGAGGGAAAAGAATGAAGAAAATAGGGGGAGGTAAGAAGTTAAAATCCAAGGTGTGAAAAGTACTTCCACAAAGCTCATAAAGCCAAAAGTAGATGGGCTTGGATTTTGCAAAGAAAGATGAAGTGCAGCGATATGTATTCTAAGTGGCTTGGTTAACAAACCAGAAATTCTCAAAGATCAATCAAGGCAGGAAACAGTCAGCCCCCACGCTTCCCCATCTCTCAGTCTCTGGGGCACAACAGAATTTGAATCTAGGTCCCTTCTTTCTGAAGTGGGCTGCTGTCCTGCCCATCTGGAACCTCCCACTGAAATCCCTCCAGAAATCCTCCCAGGAAGCAGCAGCTGGTGAGGAGGGGGCAGCTGGTAGGGAGAGGCAGCAGATTCCCACCCAGGACTAGCACCCTGGGACCCAGGAGATTCGTGAGCAGGGAAACACAGAGAAAGGGAGCAAAGAGGGAAACTCCTTCCCTTCCCCTTCTGTCTGAGGAGACAGGGTGGACCCCCCAGAGCCCCCTTTCTACTAGCAACACTCAACAAGATAGAAAAGCAGGAACAGGCTACTCTGGCCAACTTGATTTCCTGGGAGACACAAGTTACCCAGCAGACTTTATATTCAAGTCAGCCCTCTCCCCAGCCGCTTCCCAGAAAGGAACACCTCTGCTCCCAGAAGATACCTCCCTGAGAATCCTCTAGCTTTAACACTTGTTTGTTGGTGGATTCTTTGTTTGCTTTGGTGTATTAAAGGAGAATGCAGTCAAGAGCCTTGGCTAAGAGTGAGAAGACCTGGGTTTGAGTCCTAACTCCACCTCTTACAGTCACTTCTTTCCAGCCTTTGGCTTCATTGTCCATAAAATGGGACTGTAATAGCTGACCTAGGTCTCAAGCTTGTTTGGAAGCTCAGAGACAACAATATGTAAATTGATGAGACCATTTTGAGTTCTTTAAGAAACTCTTTAGAAATGAAGGGTGAATATTACATCAGCCCATGTTCCTGCTTCACAAAGTCCAGTTCTCCTGGGCAGCACTGCTCTCCAAGAGAGAAGCTTTTCCACTTCATCAGAGACATCCCTTGGGACTGCAGGTCCTGTGGATAAGGCTGTGGACCCCAAAGGCCTTAGAGACCCACTTTAATTCCATCAAGTACAACAAACTTTCTAGTGATATGATACTCAATTTCCTAAGGCTACACAGTTTTCTCATCTGTTAAATGGGGCTAATAATAGTAGCTGTTTCATAAAAGTGTATGGGCACTAAATAAGCAAATAGAAGTAACTCACATTTCCTGAGATCACAGCAAATGGTCAATAACCATTAATGTATAGTGTACCAGATGCAGTGTTTCTTCAAAAATGAAGAAAGCAGAGCTGATGCCTACAAGGAGCCTACTAGCTTATAAGAGGCATAAGACAAGGCACCAGTAACTCCAACCCCAAATCCACAGGGCCACAACTGGGAGAGGCACTCCAGGTATAAAGGACAGCATGGAAGCAGGAAAATGCAGAGCATGTCTAGAAAACAACAACAGCCCAGTCTAGCTGGGGCCTAGGCTATATCTTCATTCCTCTAACACATGTTCACTGAAAAACTTGCCAGGCTCCAGGAGATACAATGGACAGGCAGGTAGGCTAGATCTTAGGGGACAGGTGGGGTGCGCAGGGAGCACAGTATCTTCTAACCATGGACTAGCCCCTTGAAGGGGAGGTCTCCAATAATAAACTCTAACTCTTCTAGTCTTTTTGCTTCTTTTTCGTAGGAGGAATGGGAACAGGGGTGGGGGAAAAGCCACTTAAGACTTTTGGTTAAGAGTCCTAATTAACCAGCCTTTACCATAAGTAACAAGCACTGTTTAAGTTCCAAGTTTTGTATGTCTGTTCCTGTCCATTTGGATGAGAAATTATGGAGGTTGGGGGGGCGGGGAAACCACCAGATAACCTGACGTCCTTTCCCTACCAACCAACACACACACATCTTCCCAAAGCTGAAAGGATGAGAACAGGCTAGCTCCAGGGGCACAGCTCCACCTTTTCAAGGAAGCAGGCCTGGAGAAAGCTGAGGGCATTTCCTAATAGCAGCTAACATTGTGCTAGGCACTTACTTCTCCCCAAAGTCCTATTGAAGCATCAATATCCCCACTACACAAATCAAGAAATGGAAGTTCAGAAAGTTATTTAGCCATGTGCTTAGGATCACAAAGCAGTTAAGTGGTAGAGCCAGGTTTTGAAACCAAGGCTATATGATGACAACAAATATTCTTGGTCCCCATGATGATGATAATTTGTCCTAAGCAGGCCATGGTAGTAAAATTCAATATAGGTGTCGGAGCATCCTAAGAATCCCTCTTAGGGTTATTATTGTAGAGAGACAAAAAAAAAAATGAATCTAAAAACCTTTCTTTAAAAATAAAACAAAACCTTAGAAAAGTAGTGTTCTAAACACTTTGGCATCAGTCCAGGGTTCAAATCTTAGACCTAACCCCTGATTTAAGATTCTTTCCTAATCCCCCTGCCCACCAGGCTAGAGGAAGGGATATTCTGTGTTTCCAAAGAACCCAAAACTGAAAATAAAAATTATCATCGCCCTAATCAGGCTGTTTTATCATGTGCAGTCTTTCCTTCATACTGGGGCTGTGAACCCCATGAGGGCAGGGTCTATCTTGTGTATGTCTTACTCGAAGCTGAATTCTCAGTGTCCATACATCTGCATGTCCTGCGCTTCCCTGCCCATTCTTCAGGAGTGCCTAGGACTTGGGCAACCTCCCAAGTTAATCCCAAACCCATTCCTCCCT